TTTCTCCCTTAGCAGTTCCATCATGAGCTTCAGGTTTTCAGGGTTGGAGATATATTTAGTCATAACGTTGAAGTTATGACGATCTAACAGAAGCTCTCCGAGTAGCTAGAGAGACATGGTTTGCAAATTGGAAAAGAGAACAGACGTACCTTCAAGCTTTGTCTTCTCGTCACATAGTTCTCAGAATTTAAAAGTTTCTGATATTCTGAGAAAAATTTGTCATAGTTTGCGTCTAAGAACTCGGCGCAAAGGGTTTTATGTTTTGTTATCAAATCCTAAAATGGTGGGAGAGAGATAAAGACGGAGAGGGATAGAGTGAAACGAACTTTGAAAGTGGAATAGGCGTCAGAAGCAATATCGAAAGAAGACATTTCAACATACTCAAAGAATTTGTAAAATGATTCATGATTCAGGAGGATCTTAAGTAGATGAAACATTGTAACGATTAAAAAACAAAAAGAAATTTTTGAAAATTAAAAGAAACGTCGCTTACCTTTGCTAGTTGATCATGCCTAATACATTCCCTGAGCATTGAGCCACAGGTGACAGCGATATCTCCGTTCTCATAACTGAAAAAGTTTTAAGAAGAGAGATGAAACGCTTTAACACCAAACGCACCCATAGACTAGAACGATCAAAATCTCGGGACGAGCTCCCAGATATTCTACTGTAGGGGAACGCGTTCCTATTTGCCGACGCAAAAGATTATTAAAAATTTGAGCAACATCCTGATTAAGGTGAGATAAAAAGATATGAGAGATTAGAAGGAACCTTTTTACTCTCAAAGTCTAATTTTGCAAGATTTCTGATAAGCATTGGCAATACATTGGCGTTATAAGTTTCCTGAGCAAGTTGCGCTACCTCAAAACATTCAATTATGCAAGTTTTTGAAGAGGAAAAACCTGTTCACTATGAGGTTCCTGACCATCCTGACCGTAAATAATACCTTTTACCATTTGTAGCCATTTATTAACCTCTTCAACGGCTTTGTCAGACTTCTTATCACCCTAAAAGCCGACAAAACAATGAAAGAGATAGCTTGTTGCACATTTTGCAGACAAATTGCACGAAAATTAGA